AGCAAAAACTTTCTCCTATATTTTTGTTCTTTATTTTATATATTATGTAATTTAGTTAGGGGGAAAAACTTAAAAGGAAGTTATTTTGTAAAGTAATAGGTTCATTTTGTAACAGAACTGAAAGTTAATGGAATTTTTAATGTTTTTTAGTTAATGTTCTTCTTATGTCTAGTTCATTTTACCTTATAATTCAGCAGATCATTTACTGGTTTAAAAGTTCTGCTTACTTTATCATGTAGTTTTTCTGATTGTATTTAAATGTAGAATCAGCAATAAAAATTAAGGATGATTGACTTACCCCTGTGCTCTTCTTTCCCTCACATCAGCATGTTGAAATTGAGGTGCTTTCCTAGTCTAAAAGCCTTTGTTTCATTCTATGTAGTTTGATCCCTATTGGCTAATTAATGGAAAATTACTGAAAGTTTTGATTAGTAGCTGTGTTTCAAGTTTTTTTTAAACATTTATTTATTTTTGAGAGACAGAGTAGAGTAGGGGAGGGGCAGAGAGAGAGGGAGACCTAGAATCCCAAGTAGGCTCCAGGCTCTGAGCTATCAGCACAGAGCCTGAATGTGGGGTTTGAACCCACGAACTGTGAGAGGACTACCTGGTGACCAGAAAGACTCTGAGCCTTTTTCATCCCTCCCTCGCTGACACCGTCCATCCTTCAGGGACCCCTGGACCCTGGCCGGAGCCGGTCTCCGACACTTGAGAATCCTAGAGTTTAGAGAGAGGGGGGAAGATGGCGGAGAAGTAAGGAGCTCCGTACTTGCACTCGCGCCCATACATCACACGGAAAAGATCTGAAGCCATTGGAAACCTTACAAAACCTGAGAGATTGGGAGAAAAAAAGGACGCAGAATCCACTGAGAAAGCCTTCTAATGGCTACCTCAAGAAACAAGCCAGAGCACACAAGGTGGAGAGTCCCAAATATCACTACGAATAGGAAAATAAAATAACCGAGGTCCCAACAAGGAAGACCAAGAGATACCATCCAAAAAATACTCTCTGAAAGGATAGGCCCTGGACAAAGAGTCTTCTTGTATATAGCAGTGCTCATAGGTACAAAGAGCATAACAGGTCTTTAAAACCAACAAGAGCCAGAAAGCTAACTAAAATGACGAAACAAGAGCTCTCCTCCAAAGAAACTCCAAGAAGAAATGACAGCTAATGAACTGCTCAAAACAGATATCAGCAGCATAACTGAACAAGATTTTAGAATAATGTAAAATTTAATAGCTGGGCTTGAAAAAAACATAGGGGACATCAAAGAAACTATGGCTACAGACAGAATGGAAAATAAAAATAGGCATGAAGAATTAAAAAATGTGATAAATGAGATACATAATAAATTAGAGGCCTCCAATGCACGGATTGAAGAGGCAGAAAGGAGAATAAGTGATTTAGAAGACACCATTATTGAACCCACGAACTGTGAGATTGTGACCTGAGCTGAAGTCAGTTGCTTAACCATCTGAACCACCCAGGTGCCCCTCAAGTATTTTTTAAATTATTTTTATTTATTTTTTTAAAGAGATCATTTTATTAATGTTGTTATTCTGCATATTTCACTAATTAAACTTGACGTGTTTCTTCCATGCTTTTTTCCCTTGAGCACCTTAAATTTTTTTAAATTTTTTTAATTTAAAAATTTTTTATTTTTATTTATTTTGAGAGAGTGAGTAAGAGAGACAGAGACAGTATGAACAATGGAAGGGCAGAGAGAGGGAGACAGAACCTGAAGCAGGCTCCAGGCTCTGAGCTGCCAGCACAGAGCCCATCATGGGTCTTGAACTCACGAACTGTGAGATCATGACCTGAGCCCAAGTGAGACGCTTAACTGACTGAGCCACCCAGGTTCCCCTTGAATTTTTTTTTTTAAAGTTTATTTATTTTGCAGAGAGTGCACCCGAGAGCAGGGAGGGGGAAAGAGAGAGGAGGGGAGAGAATCCCAAGCAGGCTCCATACTCAGCCAGAGGCAGGGGCTCAATCTCACAACCATGAGATCAGAATCTGAGCCGACATCGAGTTGGATGCTTAATCGCCCCCTATCTGCCCCTGGAATTATTCATATGTTCATTGATTTAATAAAAAAACATAAATTAGAAAGTTCACTAGTATCAAAAAGCTCAGTAGTATCAAAGACCCTATAGTATTTATGTTTATTAAATAAGTAGTATTTTATTTTTAATAATTTATAAATGTAAATATTACTGTTTTATAAATGTTAATATTGGTAGTTTAATGTTTTATGTTAGTATCAATATATTTATTTACTAAATACTTTAATATTTATTTAAAATTATTTTGTAATGTCTATTTTTATAGACATTATAAATTTGTGTATATAATTTGTGTTTTTTTCACCCAGTTTCCAACATGTAGTCTTTATACTGATTCCTTTCATTTCTAAATTTCTGGTGAAATGTTTTTAGTGATTGATAATTATTTTTATGTAAGTAAACTTTTAGTGATATATGAGACTATATAGTGTCAAAGGAGAATTAACACATAAAAAGCCAAGTGTTTTGATGTTGTTATTTCATACACACGGCTCAAAGACCTTTTTAAAGTTAAGATTGGGTATTCATTCTAAAAGGGCACATGGGGGTGTGATTGTGTGTGTATTAAATATTCAAGTTTTAGTTTATTTGAATCAAGAAATTAAAATAGAGTTGTTGAGGGACAAAGTCTTATTATGAACAGTATGAAAATAATTTGTGGACCATTGATTTGTACAGTTTGGGTGAGAAGGCAGTGTTAAAATAACATTTGTCTGGAAATTGTAGAATTCCGTTTTCTGTAATAGAGTGTTGGCCAAGTTTTTTAAGCAGATTTATGTCATGAGGTTTACAGATATTTCCATAGAAACTAAATCTCAGTGTTGGCATGTTCAGAAAATTTTTAAAAAGAGTATTTTTTAGCCTGTTTTTAAAATGTTTAATACCAGATTTCAGATCCCATTTTAGGCTGAAGTGAATTTGGAAACATGCTAAGCTTTCTGCTTTAGTATAGGTTGCAATTTGAGTCTCAATAGAATCTGAATCCTACCTTGTGGATCCTTTTAAAAAACTAAATACAGTATAACCAACAAAGATGATAATCTTGTATTTGTTGAAGGGATATTCATTCTTCCTCCACATTAGTGACAAAAGGTCAAGGAGGAACATTTTTAAACAAAAGCATTTATACATTATAATATTCCTCAGGCCTTTTTCTTTAGAAGTTCTCATTTTAAAATTCATTCCCAAATAATGAGACACAACTCTAGGTGTATTACATAGTCAGAATGCTACATGAAAACAGGAATATTGGTAAAACACTAGCCTTACTGTATTTAAATATTACCTAACAAAGTGCTAGGAAAACTGGATAACTGCTACTGTGTTAATAAGGAGATAACTGGTACTCAGTACCAAAACTTCAGATGGAAATAAAGATATATGTATAAAACATGAAACCATAAAAATACTAGAATACCTGAAGTTAATATGCTTAAGTATTAAGCATAGCATCTAAGACAGAAATCATAAAGACAAAGATTGGGTTGACTGTGTAAAAGTCTACAGGGGGTGAATAAAAAAGCACACCATAAAAGAGAAACATTTGAACTATATATGACAAGTGACTCACACTGAATATATGAGGAGTTCTTACAAAAAACATTAAAAAACAATCATAGGAAAAGTTCATAGAAGGGATACAAATAGCCCAAAATTAATGAATGATTCAATGATATTAGTACATGATAGAGTAAAACAGTGAGATAATATTTTCATTCATTAAATACTTTTTAATAAGTTAGTACTCAGAATATGGCACAAATATTGTAGGTAGATCAGAGACGGACAATTTAGCAGTCTGTATCCAAACTGTGCCTATCCTTTGAAATACCATTTCTTTTTAGGAATTTATCTGCAGGAAATAACAGAGTGTGAATAAAGTTTCAATTATAGCAAAACTTTACTAAAGTGTGATTAGCAAACCATTGACAATAGTGTAATTTTTCAGGAAATAAGATAAAATTTCAGTGTTTAAGTTTGTTTATTTATTTAGAGCAGGGAGGGCCTTAGAGAGAATCCCACACTGACAGTGTGGAGCCCAGCTAAGGGCTCCAACTCACAAAGTGTGAGATCATGACCTGACCTGAAATCAAGAGTCGGACATGTAACTAACTGAGCCACCCAGGCGTCCCTTCATTATTGTTATGTTTTTTATTGTATTATTTCAAAACAATTTAATAAAGAATGAAAAAATTTGGATAACATTTTTGTAGTGAATACTACTAAATAGTGGTCTGTTTATGCTTCAGTTTTCTCACTGATAATTTATGGGTAATAATACTGCCTACTCATGGGGGAATTGGGACAATTAAGTGAGTTAACATGTGAAAAGCACTTAGAATAGTGCCTGACATGATGACTGCAGTTGGTAATACTGTGTTGTATTTTTGGAAGCTGCTAAGAGAGGAAATCATAAAAGCTCTTTTTATAGGGCAAGAAAAAATATCAGAATTATGTGAGGTGTTAGATGTTTACTAAACATTGTAGAAATCATTTCGTAATATATACATGTATCAAATCAGTATGTTGTTTAACTTTTAAACTTACATAATGTTAGATGTCAATTGTATCAACAAAACTGGAAATTTTTTTTTTTTTAGAAAAGAGACTCACCAAAAACAACAATAGTGTCCAAGTAGTGCTAGATGACGTATGCTGTTCTTACTCATTCACAGAATGCTCCTGAAATTTGAGATAATACAGAAAATCAGTTTACTATATATACATTGTAGATAAATGTATAGAAGATAAAGGGGCTAATCTGAAAGAAGAAAGTGGCCTGACTTAAGAAACTGGACTATATTAGTGACCAAAGGATTACACTGTCAAACAAATACACTACATCTGTGTGGAGTTTTTGTTCCTGCTACAACATATGTTCCATACTGATGTAAAACTGATTTTGATATTAAACTGTCTCTTTTGTTTGTTTTGAACAGGTTGGCTCAAAGCTAATCTCTTGTCACAAACTAGTATTGGCTTGTGTTATCCCCTACTTCAGAGCCATGTTTCTCTCTGAAATGGCTGAAGCTAAGCAAACACTGATTGAGATCAGAGATTTTGATGGTGATGCAATCGAAGACTTGGTAAAGTTTGTCTATTCTTCACGGCTCACTTTGACTGTTGACAATGTCCAACCTCTTTTATATGCGGCCTGTATTCTACAGGTTGAACTGGTGGCTAGAGCTTGTTGTGAATACATGAAGTTACATTTTCATCCGTCCAACTGCCTGGCAGTAAGAGCCTTTGCAGAAAGTCACAATCGAATAGACTTAATGGACATGGCGGATCAGTATGCCTGTGAGCATTTTACTGAAGTAGTGGAGTGTGAAGACTTTGTAAGTGTGTCACCCCAGCATCTCCATAAGCTCTTGTCCTCCAGTGACCTAAATATTGAGAATGAAAAGCAGGTCTATAGCGCAGCCATCAAGTGGCTTCTTGCGAATCCTCAGCATCATTCCAAATGGTTGGATGAAACACTAGCACAGGTAGGGGCTGAAATAAGATTGTGTATAGAAATGAAATGATACGGAAGCAAATTAACATGTGTCATTTATCAAGAAATGTGCAGACTACCTGAAGGAATGTAGAAATCATTGTGTAATACAGTGGGAAAATGGTTTTCTGTTTACTTTTCTGTTTACTCACTGTGCTATTTAAAGATAAGTCTGAATTGCATTTAATTATAAATGTAATTATTTACTTTTTAACCTGAATGTGTTTTTGGTTTGTTTGTTTGTAAAGTTTATTTATTTATATTTGAGAGAGAGAGAGAGCAGAGACAAGTTGGGAAGGAGCAGAGAGAGAGAGAGGGAGACCCAGAATCTGAAGTAGGTTCCAGGCTCTGAGCTGTCAGGACAGAGCCTGAAGTGGGGCTCGAAGTCACAAGTTGTGAGGTCATGACATGAGCCGAAGTCGGAATCTTAAACTGATTGAGCCACCCAGATGCTCCTAACCTGAATGTTTAAAATAGCCCTGTGGGATTGCAGTAATGAATATTTTTCTATGCTGATAGAAAATGGTTCTGAGGAAATAGCTCTAAATAGCTATTGTTTTATAATAAAGTTTCTAAATTTTAGTGAATTACTTTCCTATTTGGAAAGAACCACAAGACATCACTTTCCATTTTCTTTCCACATCACACTTTCACTTTTATAACCTCAGAAACATGGCTCCTTTTTATTTATTTGTTTACTTACAGATAGGGAGATAATAGGCCTTAAAATTACTTTGAATATAAGTTTGTCAACAAAAACAAAAAGTTTTATTATCTTACACTGTATCTTATTTGTGAATGCAGCTATACCTTATTGTGAATGCTTGTGTACTTTTAACTCAAATCATATTACCTGGTTTGATCATCACCTTTATTCACTAGAAAATTAATGCATCTTTAAGGGAAGAATGGTGAGTGCCTCTACTGAAAGAGGGATGCATCCCTGATTTAGTATATAACCTTCCAAGTTAATTGATTTGAAGAAAACAACACTTATTTAATATTATGAATGTTTCTGTGTTTAAGAAAGAAATCACATTTCCATTTGTTCAGTCTTAGCTTTAAAAGGCAAAAGAACATTGGGGCGCCTGGGTGGCTCAGTAGGTTGTGTCCGACTTTGGCTCAGGTCATGATCTCACAGTTCGTGGGTTCGAGCTCCGCATGGGGCTCTGTGCTGACAGCTAGCTCAGAGCCTGGAGCCTGTTTTGGATTCTGTGTCTCCCTGTCTCTCTGACCCTCCCCTGCTCATGCTGTCTCTCTCTCTCTCTCTCTCTCTCTCTCTCAGAAATAAATAAAAAAACATTAAAAAAACTTTTTTTAAAAAGACGAAAGAACAAACCATAGCAATTTTGTTTTGATTGCACCTTTTCTCTAGCAGCAGTGTGGCCTTGTGATTCTGACACTACCAATTTTGGAAGTAAGTAACTTGAAAGAAGATATGAAATTATTTTATCCAGTCTACTTAAATCTGTTTTTAAAGAGGGAAAGATGCTTGTAACATACAATCTGATTTCATCAGTGCATCATACTGGAAATCACTTTAGAATTTGGCTCATTAAACTTCACTCACATGTTAGAAAGGCTTTTGTGAGGTAAATGAGTTTTAAAAAGAGAATGTAAATGTACTACAGTTGACGTAGAGAATGAGCTCTCTAATTACAACTTAAATTTCATATCCACAACTATTCATGATCTTAGGTTCGTTTGCCGCTGTTGCCAGTTGATTTTCTTATGGGTGTTGTGGCAAAAGAACAGATTGTCAAGCAAAATCTAAAATGTAGAGATTTATTGGATGAAGCAAGAAATTACCATCTTCACTTGAGTAGCAGAGCAGTACCTGACTTTGAATATTCTATTCGGACTACTCCAAGGAAACATACTGCTGGTAATGAAATTACTCATTTTATCACCTCTACTTGAAGGATCTTTGTGGTATTTGAGGGTTGGTTATGTATGCCCAAACTTAATTGTAAGGAGGCACGTGGGTGGCTCAGTTGGTTGGGCGTCCAACCCTTGATTTTGGCTCGGGTCATGATCTCATGGTTTGTGGGTTCGAGCCCCATGTTGGCTCTTTGCTGGCGGCATGGAACCTGCTTGGGATTCTCTCTTTTTCCCTCTCTTTCTGCCCCTCCCCTGTGCTTGCTCTCTTTCAAAAATAAATAAACTTAAAAAAATTAAAAAATATATTGAATTAGTTGGAAAAGATGGCACAAGCAGTTTTAGACATTTTTTAATGTAGTCATTAAGCAAATATTTACTTAGTGCCTACCACATGCCAGGTTCTCGGGTAGGCATCAGAAATGCAGATACACATAGAATATAGCCAGCCCTATTTTAAGAGAACTTGCAGTCTGATCTAGGGAAATAGACATGTGAATAAATAAATGCAGTGAAGTATTCAAGAGATGTTGATATGTTCATAAGTATAATGGGAGACACAAAGAAAAGAGTGGTTATCTTTACCTTGGAAGGGTCAGAAAAGGTTTTATAGAGAATATGAACCTCAGTCTCAGTTTTGAATGATAAACAGATGTTTTCCTAGGTGTCAGTTAAGGAAAGGGGTATTCAGTTCCTTTCACACCTCTTTTTTTTTTTTTTTTTAATTTTTTTTTAATGTTTTATTTATTTCTAGGAGAGAGAGAGACAGCATGAGCAGGGGAGGGTCAGAGAGAGAGGGGGTCACAGACTGAAACAGGCTCCAGGCTCCGAGCTGGCAGTCAGCACAGAGCCCGACGCGGGGCTCGAACCCACGAACCGCAAGATCATGACCTAAGCGAAAGTCGGACGCTTAACCGACTAAGCCACCCAGGCGCCCCCCTTTCACACCTCTTAAAAGCCTAGTACGTCCCAGTCACTGTGATAGCCCCAATTAATACAGAACATAACTTAACATATAGTCCTAACCTATCTTGGACTCTGGAGACAGACACCAGCATAATAGATCATTTCTAAAGTGTGTTAAGTGAGTAATACTACCAAAAATCACCATTGGAACATCAAAGATGAGCACTATATGCATGTTGCAGGAGCATAAAATTTAAGAGAAAGAGAGGGAGAAAATCAGATTAGACAGTAGGTCTTAATGCTGTGCTGGCTTTATCCTGTAGGGCATTGGTTCTGAAAGTATAAAGGAAGTGGTGGCCACTGGCCCAGCATCATCATCCTTCACGTGGGAACTTGTTAGAAATACAGATTCTTGAATCTACCCCATACCTATTGAATCAGAAACTCTGGGGGTCAGTCCCATAAATCTTTGGTTTATGCCTTCCAGGTGATTCTGTAAACTTCACTCAAGTTTTGATATTTGTTAGATTGCTGTGAAATATGTATAATATAAAAATCGCCATTTTAACCATTTAAAAGAAATGTTTATTCATTTTGAGAGAGAGAGTGTGTGAAGCAGGGGAGGAGTAGAAAGAGGAGAGAATCCCAAGCAGGATCTGCACTGTCAGTGCAGAGCCAGAGCTGGAGATGGGCTCCATCCCACAAACTGTGAGATCACAATCTGAGCCAAAATCAAGAGCCAGACACTTAACCTACTGAGCCAACCAGGCACCCTGAACCATTTTTAAATGTATAGTTTAGTGGTATTCGCTAAAGTTTTTAAGAACCACTGATGTAGGTAATGGAAGGCCGTTGGAAGAATCTTTTAATTTACTCTGTTGACAGTCTGAAAGCAAAAAGACTACTAAGTGATCAGAAAGGACAGGATTTTGCAATTACTGGGTAATAACTGATGAGGGCCTGAACCAAGGCAATGCCAGTGGGAGTAGTGAAGGAGAGGAAGGACACCTCAGTGAAGGAAGAGGTTTGTTTAGGTAGGTAAGGAAGGGAGATCCTTTTGAACCTGTTGGGTTTGAGGTGCCCATGGGACATCAGGTAAGAAATGTGGCTTACATATGTAACTTGGAGGGCATTACAGATACAGATAGAGTTTAAATCAAGGAATGGATGTACTTTTCCTGTTTGATCATGAAGTATGTGAGAAGTAGGCTAAGGACGAAATACGGGAAACATATGAAAGAGAAATTACTGGAGACAGAAGGAAACTTTGATATGGTGGAAATCAGGAGAGTTAAGGAGTTTCCCCCCAAAACTGGGTGATCAACATTTCAAATGTGGCAGTTGTGTTCAATAAGAAATTAAGACTTTATTGGATATAGTTAACGATCTTAGCAAGAGAAATTTTACAGAGATAGCTGATGTATCCTATCTGAGAAATTCTAGGGGGAGAAAAGAAAATCAGATTTTTTTAGTAACAATGACATTGAAGTTATCCAAATAACTCATTTTTTTAGCAGTTCATCAAAATTTTGACTTTCTAAGTAGTTTTTACACACTAATTTAAAAAAATTAGGGTGATATAATTTTGATCTCTGTTTTGTGGCTCTCTCTACCTTTAGGTGTGCTGTTTTGTGTAGGTGGTAGAGGTGGATCTGGTGACCCCTTTCGCAGTATTGAATGCTATTCTATCAACAAAAACAGTTGGTTTTTTGGGCCAGAAATGAATAGTCGAAGGCGACACGTCGGTGTAATCTCTGTAGAAGGTGGGTTCATTATTGTCTTAAGTCATAGCACATGATGATAACACTCTTTATAAATATGTAAACAATGAGAATTTCTTTCTCTAAGAAAATTGCTGAATTATAAAATGTTTCAATATATCAGTAAAATATTCGGGTGGTGATTATTTACTTGCCTTATGCCCGTAGGTGCTCAGTAAACAATCTCTTGCATGTAGGTGCTTAATGGGAGATGAGTAATAGGGAAAACAAAGTTAAAATAAAGAATTAAAGTCTTCTGAGTTATATTTGCAAAATAAACTAAGGAAAGAAAGGTGTTTATTGAACTCAAATGTATATCAGCTTTTTTCTCTATCTGCATTTATTGAAAATTTTTTTTTTACTAATTACTGAAAATGAAATAATTACAGAAACATGGATACATTGTTAGGAGACTTGAAAAATTAACTTTTTCTGATTATAGAAGTGTAAATGCTTTTTTGGGGAAAATTTGAAAGCATTCTAATAAAAAGTAAAAATCATCTATAACCCAAACACTCAGAAATAATCCTAGCTGACATTTTTGTATGTAATCTTTACAGTTATTATATGTGTATTTTTAATAATTTCATTTAGAAAAAGTTTGATCATATGTATTGAATTTTATATTTTCTTTATATAACATACTGAGCATTTTAAAAATTTTATCAAATATTCTTTGAAAGCATAATTAGTGATTTCATCTAAGTAATAAAAAGTTGGGAAACCTAAGGTAGGATAGTATTTGAGCATTTAAATAACTTCATGTATAACGGCATATTCCAGGCATTTTATTAAGTAGAAGCTTATAATTATTTTCATTTGACTGTTTAAGTGATGTTAATTCATGATGTTGAACAGAAGAATAGTTGTTGAAATTATCATGCTATTCTAATTATATGTTGAGTAGATGTGTATATATATATATACACATACATACATATGTGTATATATACATACATATATGTGTTTATATATACATACGTATATATGTATATATATATAAAACAATTTACTGACTTGGAATCAAATGAAAATGCTTCTGTATTTGACAGGTAAAGTATATGCGGTAGGTGGACATGATGGAAATGAACATTTAGGTAGCATGGAGATGTTTGATCCTCTCACTAATAAATGGATGATGAAGGCTTCAATGAACACAAAGAGGTGAATCAACATGCAATTTGTTTTTAATTTGTTGGAAAATAAAGCTCCCAGTAATTGAAAGGACTAATTTTCTACTTTTTACACTTTTAGAAATTTAAAATACCTTCTTAAACACATTTTGTTAAAGCATCTATTGAGCATATATTTTATATTTTCTTTTTATATTTTCGAATATAGTAATGATCGACATAGTTTCCACCTAGACCTGAGCTTTTTTTTTTTTTTTTACTTTTAACTCTGAAATAATTTTAGGTTTGCAGAAAAGTTGCAAAAATAGTCGAGTTCCTGTATACCAGTGGTTCTCAACTAAAGATGATTCGCTCCCTTTGTGGAATACTTGGCAATATCTGGAGAGATTTTTGGTTGCCATAGTTTGGAGTTGGGGATGTTGAGGGAGTTGTTGCTGGCATCTAGTTGGGAGAAGCCAAGGATGCTGCTAAAAATCCTGTGATGCACAAGAAAGTTCCCCACAGCAAAGAATTTTCTAGCTCCAAATGTCAGTTGTGCTGGGATAGGAAAAATCCTGCTGTATACTCTTTACCTAGTACCTATAATGTTGACATCTTACACCATTGTAGTACAGTTATTTGAACCAGGAAACTAACATTAATACAATGGTATTAATTAATCCATAGACCTTATTCAACTTTTGCCAGTTTTTCCACATATTCCTGTGCCTTGAATTGGTTTTTCTTATCTAATTATATTGACTGTTAATCTAATACAGTGTGAAGAGTAGCAGATATAGTAGGCCTTTTTCTCTTATGCTTGATCTTAGTGGAAATGTCTCCAGTTTTTCCCTATTAAATGAGATACTGGCTTTAGGACTAAGGCATAGGTATTTTAACATGTTAAGAAAATATCTCTCAGAGCGCCTGGGTGGCTCAGTCAGCTAAACGTCCGACTTCAGCTCAGGTCATGATCTCACGGTTTGTGGGTTCGAGCCCTGTGTTGGGCTCTGTGCTGACAGCCAGCTCAGAGCCTGGAGCCCGTTTCGGATTCTGTGTCTCTCTCTCTGACCCTCCCATGCTCACACTGTCTCTTTCTCTCTCTCACTCTCTCTCAGAAATAAATAAAAAACATTAAAAAAATTTTTTTAAATCTCTTTATTTTTTGTTATGAGCATTAATATTTAAAAATTTTCATCTTCATTAAATTGAAATATATGTTGATAAATGGATCAGTCTAAAGAGGAGAAAGATTTTCAGTAACATGACTTAGTGGATGTTGACTAGCCTATTCAGAGGTTTTTTTAATGACTATTCTGAATATCAGATTTTCAGGTATCTTAAGGTAGATGGATTGCTAATATTTGATCAAATCAAGGTTCAAAAGTATAGTAGATCAAATACACTCTATAGACAATAATACCTAAAAATATTAGGGTTACTTAAGCCTGCTTTAGGTATTATGAAATATAAATTATACCAGTACAACATGGTGGAAAACCAGGTTTGCAGTTAATTTATGTTTCTTATGGAAAGAAGTACTTGAACCAATATGAAGCCCAGCTCTTAAAAAAAAATGGAAAATGAATATTATACAGTTGCCTGTCTTGAGAAGTGGAGCCTTTAGATCAAGGAAGATTGTCATGGTATTCTTTATGCTGATCTGTCTGTATCTATAGCTGGGGTCTCAGTGGGATACACAACATCATTTGGGATATGGGAATATAAGATAGACTCTGCTTTTTCATTGCATCCTTTTAAATTTATTCTAAATTGGATTTTTTATTAATATAACCTGTTAATATAGTAATACATGTTTATAATTTGAAAATCATGGTAAATGGGGGTGCAAAAAATTGTTATAAATGTGAGTTATAACCTGGGATGCATGTAAAGACTATCGGGTTAGTAAGAAATCTGAAAACTGTGTCATATAAAAAATTGCTGGGGCACCTGGATGGCTGTCGGTTAAGCATCCGACTTCGGCTCAGGTCATGATCTCACGGTTCATGGGTTTGAGCCTCATGTCAGGCTCTGTGCTGACAGCTAGCTCAGAGCCTGGAGCCTACTTCTCTCTGTGTCTCCCTCTCTCTCTGACCCTGCCCTGCTCACGCTGTCTGCCTGCCTCTCTCAAAAAAAAGTTAAAAAAAAAATTGCTGAAGATTTTTGATTTGGAGAGAGGATTTTTAAAAATTTTATTTGACTTCCATTGTAGTTACCGTACTGTGTTAAATTAGTTTCAGGTGTACAATATAGTGATATAACAGTTCCATATATTACATCAAGATAAGTGTACTCTTAATCCCCTTTACCTGTTTCACCCCTTCCCTACCCACCCCCACTTTGGTACCATCTGTTTGTTCTCTATATTTAAGAGTCTCTCTTTTGCTTTGTTTCTGTTTTTTCCCCCTTAAATTCCACATATGAGTGAAATCATACGGTATTTGTCTTTCTCTGGCTGGCTTATTTTCGTAGCATTATACTCTCTAGTTCCATCTGTGTTGTTGCAAATGGCATGATTTCATTCTTTTTATATGGCTTAGTAATATTTATATATATATATATATATATACACACCACATCATCTTTATTTATTCATTCATCTATTGATAGATACTTGGTCAGCTTCCATAGTTTGGCTATTATAAATAATGCTGCAGTAAACACAGGGGTGCATATATTCCTTCCAATTAGTGTTTTTATATCCTTTGGGTAAATATCCAGTACTCGATCTTAGGGTAGTTCTATTTTTAATTTTTTGAGGAACCTCCATACTGTCTTCCATAGTGGTTGAACCAGTTTGCATTCCCACCAACTGGGATGCAAACTTCCTTTTATTCTCTATCTTTCCAACACTGTTGTTTCTCGTGTGTTTGGTTTTCAGCCATTCTGAGAGGTATAAAGTGGCATCTCATTGTGGTTTTGATTTTCATTTCCCTGATGATCATTGATGTTGAGTATCTTTCCATGTGTCTTTTGGCCATCTGGATGTCTTCTTTGGAGAAATGTCTGTGTGTGTCTTATGCCCATTTTTAAATTGGATGATGATTATTATCATTATTATTTTGGTGTTGAGTTGTATAAGTTCTTTATATATTTTGGATACTAGCCCTTTATTGGATATGTCATTTGCACATATTTTCCCCCATTCAATGTATTTTAGTGTTGTTCGTTGTTTCCTTTGCTGTGCAGATTTTTATTTTGATGTAGTCCCAAAAGGTTATTTTTGCTTTTGTTTCCCTTGCCTCGGGACATAACTAGAAAGATGTTGCTGTGATCATTGTCAGAGAAAATACTACCTTTGCTCTCTTCTAGGATTTTTATGGTTTCAGGCCTTATATATTGGTCCAAGTCTTGGCTAAAAACCAGCTTAGCATGATAAAAAAGCAAGGATTTAAAAATTAAAAAGGTACTTTAGAATTTTCTCCCATGTCTTAATCTATGCATTAGAATTTAAACTATTGGCAGTTACTATGTAGCATAAATTCAGTTCTATGAAAGCATTAAAATGTTGTTTGTAGGTAAGTGACAGGTAACAGTATATTTTAAGACCAGATTTTTTCTTCCCTAGGATTCTTTCTCCTTGTGAAGAAAAAAGAAAAGCTAAAAATCTCTTCTCAGCAGAACTCTCTTCATATTTCCATCTGATATCTTGTACTATAAGATGAGAAGAAAACCCAGTTAAAAACACTTCATGTTAAATTAATTGAAAATAGAAAATTAAATGGCATTATATCCCCATGTGCAGTTCAGTTTAAAAATGCTCATTTATGAGGGGCCTGGGTAGCTCAGTTATGACTTTGGCTCAGGTCATGATCTCATGGTCTGTGGGTTCAAGCCCTGCCATTAGTGCACAGCCTGCTTTGGATCCTCTGTCTTCTCTCTTTCTGCCCTGTCCCTGCTCACTCTCTCAAAAAAACATAAAAACATTTAAAAAATAATAAAACTGTTCATTTTGTTACTAGCCATTTTTAACTCTTACAGAATGTTGCTACAGTTTGCAAACCTTGATATAAACCTTAGTATTTGAAGTTAGGTTTTATTAGTTTGGGTTTGTTTCTTTAAATAAAATTGCAAGGTAAAATTAAGGTGTTTTGAATTTTGTTTTATGTACAAAGCTCCTCTTAGGCAATATTCTCAGTATTTACCCAGATAACATGTTTTCTTCCCTTTGTTACATTTTCACTTTGAGTCAAGGAGGCAAAATTATTCTCATATCTAGGTTCATGTAAATTATTAAGCTCTCTTTGACATCCTTACTCTATTTGCTGAATTTTAATTTTGAACAAGGAAAAGACTAGGTAACCTAATTTAATCTCCCATTTGGTGCAAAATAGACATTATTTTAACATGTACACATATAACTTGAGTCACTGGGAGGAATACAGAATGCTCCATTGCTATTATGTAGAACTGTAAATAAATGTTGTCATAAATCCATGCAAGGAATGAAATTGCCTTGGGAGAGAAAGTAAAAGTGATAAGAGGCCTTAGGGAACTTCAGAATTTAATGATGAAGTAAAGAAGGCACTGATAAAGGAAGCAGAATAGCACCAGCCAGAGATTTAGGAGGAAGTTCATATGTGTGATTTCATGAAGATCAAGAGAGTTTTGAGTAGTAGGAAATAGCCAATAATATCATATGCTCTTGTGGCTTGGGATGGTGGCAGGGGAGGGACATTAATTAGGCACACATCTGCCATGATATAACACCTGTATGTCCTAGTGTGCACACAGATGTTCACGCACCTGTGAGTTTTTATTGCTACAGTATTTTGTAAGTCATTGCTTTATACTCGAGAAAGGAGGTTAAGGGGACTGAAAAATGAGTAACAACATTATCTTTAAGAATTCTTCCTAGGATTCTCTTTAGTTTAAGAGTTAGAATCTCAGTTCAACAGCTGTGCTCTCTAGTAATATAGCAAATACATAGCACTAGATATGGGCCAGTTGCCATTCTAAGTGCTTTACCTATATGAACTAAATACCACCTGTGTCTTCTTTCTCAAATGGGTTACAGATGAAGAAGCAAGGTAGTAGATGTTTATAAAATACACTGCTTTATCCAAAGTACATATCAACTTAGTGACGATTATAGTTTTAGAATAGTTTAAATTTTGATTGATGTAATGTTTTTTAAGAGATTTTTTTCTTTTTTTTTTAATGTTTTATTTATTTCTGAGAGAGAGACAGCATGAGCAGGGGAGAGTCAGAGGGAGAGGGAGACACAGAACCTGAAGCAGGCTCCAGGCTCTGAGCTGTCAGCACAGAGCCTGATGCAGGGCTCAAACCCACAAACCGTGAGATCATGACCTGAGCTGAAGTCGGATGCTTAACCGACTGAGCCACCCCAGTGCCGCATAGAATTTTTTTTCTGATCTCTGTTACAGTGAATTAGCTTTGAACAAGGGCTAAGTCTCCTACTTTTCAGAAAGATAAATAAATGCCCATCAGAAGTAAAACAATGTGATATAAAGCTTGTATTATAAAAATGGATTCTTTTGTGTGGTACAATGAAACCCTGCATCAAAACATGTACTCTGCTGTTACATTAATTTAGAAATGAGATGACTTCTGACTTCTGTAGCAAAATTTTTTTTTTAAACTTTTTAAATGTTTTATTTATTTCTGAGAGAGAGAGAGAGAGAGAGCGTGAGCAGGGGAGGGTCAGAGAGAGAGGGAGATAGAGGATCTGAAGCAGGCTCCAGGCCCTGAGCTAGCTGTCAGCACAGAGCCCGATGCAGGGCTTGAACACACGAACCACAAGATCATGACCTGAGCCGAAGTCAGACGCTCAACCGACTAAGCTACCCAGGCGCCCCTCCATAGCAAAATTTCTGTCAGTTCATTAATCTCTCGTTATGCAGCTGTGTGTTTTGCTAATTGAATGTTTTAGACTACATTTATGGTATTTTGTTGGGTTTTACTTTATTTCATTTGAGTTTAAAGTAACCTGTGTGGGTTGTGTATTATAAAACTCCAGAGGGCACTGTTCACTTAGAGTCACACAGTTTGGCAACCTTGTAGCCATCTATTTAGAAGTTTTGATAAATCTAAAAATAATGGGAAAAAACACACTGAGGCTTAAAGTAAACAACTTCCTTTAACATGATATTTTCACTGCCTTTTTCTTGGAAAAAAACTGGATGCTACAATGTGTTTTTATTGTCTTTGCAGGCGAGGCATAGCCTTGGCCTCCTTGGGAGGTCCAATTTATGCAATTGGAGGGTTAGATGACAACACTTGCTTCAATGATGTAGAGAGATATGACATAGAATCTGATCAATGGAGTACAGTGGCACCAATGAATACTCCCCGTGGAGGAGTTGGCTCTGTGGCTCTTATAGTAAGTTAAGTGGCAGTTTGCTCATTGGATTACATCATGTCACATCCCTAACCAAATAAGTAAAGGTCTGCTATATTCATATCTCCAGGATGCAGATATTGATTGCACACCATATTATGTCATGAAACACTGCTTTCTTGCACCTTCCAGTCTACCATTGAAGACCATTTAAAGCATTTAAAAATCTAATGTGTGTTTTTATTTTTTCTTTATTTAGAATCATGTTTATGCAGTAGGTGGCAATGATGGAGTAGCTTCTTTATCTAGTGTGGAGAGGTATGATCCACATCTGGATAAGTGGATAGAAGTTAAAGAAATGGGTCAACGAAGAGCAGGCAATGGAGTTAGTGAGCTCCATGGTTGCTTATACGTTGTTGGTGAGTGGATGGTATTTCTCTAATTTATTGCAGGATATACAGTGATCATGTCATAAGACAACACAGTAACACAGATTATGTTGCATTTAGGCTCAAGTGGAATTGGTCCTAAGATTTGCTTTTGAATTATTAGATTCACATTCATGCTTTTTTATTAACTTCTTCATTTTTCATGTTTAAAATTTCTACTTTCATATTTTTACTAGGCGTAGCAAAGATATCTAGAGGATTATACTTAGGATATATGTTTTTTTTAATGTAAGGACACAAATGTGCTTTGCTAAAATCTTTACAGATCTAAGACATTTTTTCTCATCATTTCAGGGGAATTATGTTGACTCCTTTAAGCAAATCAATAGATATTTCATAAGCATTATGAAATGCTGTTGGCATCTCTGTATTGCTTTTTGACTTGCTGAATTGCAGAATTAGAAGGAACCAAAGGGCAATGCTTTCTCAAACTTTAATATGTATATGTATATTCTGGAGATACTGTTAAACTACAAGGAAGGAGCCCAGATGCTATATTTCTGAGAGCTCCTAACAATCAATGCTGCTTCTGGTCCATTCAGCACACTTTTCAGTAGCAGGGTTTTAAAGAGCTATGAAATGGGAATAATGGAATTATTATTTAGAATTAATGAGAATTATCTTTGAGAGAATTATTTTAAGAATTAGAGATAACATATATGAAGCATCCCAAACTGCATCTGGCACTTTATAGTTACCCAGTTAATAGGTAGCAATATTGTGATTAGTAATTCCCTTCTTTATAGAGAAAGAAATAGGTCAGAGAGGTTGTCACTAGCATATGTCACACTTATGTTAGTGTAAACTGTTTAGTGTTACATAACTTAGAATTTAAAATATTTTTAAAAAATTTTTTTAAAATTTATTTCTGAGAGAGACAGAGACAGAGACAGCGTGAGCAGGGGAGGGTCAGAGAGAGGGAGATACAGAATCTAAAGCAGGCTCCAGGCTCTGAGCTAGCTTCTCTGACAGAGCCCGAGTCAGTGCTCGAACCCACGAACCATGAGATCATGACCTGAGCTAAAGTCGGGATGCTCAACCGACTGAGCCACTCAGGTACCTCTCGAATTCTTGATAAGCAAATGTGGGATAGTATTAGCTTGAAATATCTGCAAGTAATAGAAGTAATGATGACTATTCCAGTGCTTCTGTAGATTAAAGAAAAGAAATAACATAATTTACCTTCAGATCCTGTCTGATCATCGTAGCTCTGTGAGGTAGCAGAGACCTCAGTGTGAATAAATTACTTATAGTCACATGTCTGTACCACTTATAAAGCTGGAATTTGAACCTGAGTCTATGAGAAACCAGAGTTCTTGCAGCACACCATTGCTGTCTGTCACAGTTCCCTACTTAGGAGAGCTAAACCCTTTGTTGTGATGAAAAATATGTTTTGTATCTTGATTGTGGTGGTAATGATACTACTCTATACATTTGTCAATATTTATTGAATTATGCACATAAAATTGGTGAATTTTACTTCATTTAAATTGATTTAATAAAGTTAAAGCCATTAGAGAAGTTAACTGATGATTTTTTTTTTTTTACTGACCTTGTTTCTAAATAGACTGATCATAATAGCAATACTTCCTGTCCTCAGGAAAATAGGCTTAGTCGCCAATGAGAGTTATTACTCATGTAGACTGAGATGGAGTCTAAAAAGAGGCACATTTATCTTTAAAGGAAAGAACCCTCAGGATTATAATAAGTAACACTGTTAGAATGATGTATAGAGAGGACTGTCATCTAGATTATGTAACATGAAGATGCAGTTTTGGCAAAAATTAGAATTCAGTCATGGCCATCTCTGTAATTATGATGGCAATTGTAGTATTAAAGGAAACAGTTGGAAAACTTTAACATATCTAAAATATGAGTCAAATGATTCAGTGGTAGTTTATTCTCTTCTCAAGGCCTCTGTTTAAAATACACAATGTAGGGGTACCTGGGTGGCTCAGTCGGTTAAGTGTCTGACTTCGGCTCAGGTCATGATCTCATGGTTCATGGGTTTGAGCCCCTCGTTGGGCTCTGTGCTGACAGCCAGCTCAGAGCCTGGAGCCTGCTTCAGATTCTGTGTCTCCCTCTCTCTCTGACCCTCCCCTGCTCACACTGTCTCTCTCTCTCTCAGAAATAAATATTAAAAAAAATTTTTTAAATACACAATGTACACATAGAGAAGGAATCTCAGTATGATCTTCCTTACCTCTAGGAAGCTAAGGACAAATTATATGAATGTGGGGTTTTTTCCTTCTAAATTATCTGCTTAGATACAGGGACTTCAGTTTTTTCCACTTTAAGATTTTTAGTCTTAGCATTGAGGTAAAATACTATCTAATTATCTTGAATTGTAGAAAACGTCTGATCAGAATTGGTAGTGATGAGAGGCATAGGGGTGAATTTTTTCCGGGATTTTCTCTATTTTCTAAAATGTTAGAAGCTATTGGATTGAGATTTGATAGCTTATTTCTATGTAATGTACTATTTGAAAAATCTTTTTTTTTTTTTTAAATATAGGTGGTTTTGATGATAATTCTCCTCTGAGTTCAGTTGAGCGGTATGACCCTCGAAGCAACAAGTGGGATTATGTAGCAGCACTTACCACTCCCAGGGGTGGAGTGGGGATCGCAACAGTGATGGGCAAAATCTTTGCAGTTGGTGGTCATAATGGAAATGCATACTTAAATACAGTGGAAGCATTTGATCCCGTGCTGAATAGGTAATTTTCATGTTTTCTATATGCTTTAATGGAATCTTCCTGTAGCAGATTACTCCAGAGTGCTAAAATACTTCTAGACATAGCTGTTAATATAAAGCATTTGGGATATCATATCTCCCTGAGGAACCTTGCTGTCTTTCAAAACCAGTCCCAATAATAGGGAGTTTGTTTTCAATTGGTCTTCTGAGTAAAATAAGTCATGCTTTGTTTTAAGATAACACAGTTTTCCCTGTGTGTTTCCAGGTGGGAGCTGGTTGGATCTGTGTCTCACTGCAGAGCCGGAGCAGGTGTAGCTGTGTGCGCCTGTCTAACTAGCCAAATTCGAGATGTAGGCCATGGATCAAACAATGTAGTGGACTGTATGTGATTTGAGGTCCAGCCACCAACAATTCAGTCGTATTTCATATGCAGGAAAGACAACCAAGATTTTCTATGATCACCTTTCACTACTGCCAGAGTCTTATTTTAAATGGAAACTGTTGTATTGTGACTAAGTGCAAGATCTAGATGGTAATTGAAGAATTCTTAGTAGTAAAGGTAAATTTGATACTTCCCACTTTAGCAAATAATGGGATAGGGAAGGAAAACAATCTAACCTGAAACCATACCTCCTCTAAAAAATCTTTAAAATAGTACAGAAACCTTGAAATCCCTTTTTAAAATCATTTTGGATAAATCAAAATGTAAAATGGAGTCATTTCCATTTTGCCTAAAAGTGTTGACTATAGGCAATGGACTTTTCCTAGAGGGGCAATTAGAACCTATTCATCAACACAAGTATATCAGGACACATGAGAGACCTCCTTTGGAAGATCATTTCTACTTGGTGCTGATGAATTTATGCCTTGCTTTTTTTCTAGATGTCAGTTTTTAAATTCCTTGGATATTTACAGAAGTAGAAAAATGTTTAATTTTTCTCAGTGCCACTAGCTGAATTTTCAGAAGCTTAATGGGAGTGCTATAACAAGCCCTTAATTTCAGTTTGACTTGTAGCTGAACTAATTCCATCTAAATAAATCTGTACTTTCATTTTTTCATCTCCTATAGAAAGGATTTGTTTCATATTAGCAAAAATTGAATCAGAGGCAATATTAGAGGAGAGGGCTTTAGAGTTAATATTACTCTAGGGCCCAGTTGAGACACCTTGAAAAGAAATGGTGTCAATTACATGACTCACTGAGAGGAATCTGAAAATATTTCTCTTTGATTTAATCATTTGGTTTGAGCCAAGGATTATTATCTTTCCCTTTTGCTCTTTTTTACCACCCTATGTTTTTAACTGTATGGAATATGTTTATTATCAGAAAATGAATGCATTTTTGCAGAAATTCTTTACAGAGTGTGGTTTACAGTGTGTGGTTCAAGTCCATCATTACCAATAAAAGATAACTGTTGATAAAAACAGAAAAAGATTTAAATTACTGTTTTTTGTTATGTCTAACCCCCTTCAGTATATTTATTGAATTTCAGTTGAAAATATTTCTGTGCATTAGTTTGAAGCTAAGATCTTGATAAACCTGTTGCTTTAACGGCTCTTCGTGGATTTAACCAGTATTATAAAATGGCCTATTCATTATATGTAAATTTTTATATAAATATTTATGACGAATATTAAAATATTCTGTTTTGTATTTGTAATGCACTTTGGTACCTCTTTTCCAGGCCTTCCTAAATTTATCTGTCGTCATGCCTCAGAATTTAGTGTAGTTTCATTGCTGGCAATCATCTGGTTCGCAAGGAATGAGGTCAGTAAGGACCACTACCCCCATCCATCCAGCTCTGAAGTTCATTGCCTACTAACTCTGATGGGCTTCATTAAAAGGCAAGTTCAGGGGTGCCTGGATAGCTCAGAAGAGCATGCTACTCTTGATCTCAGGGTCATGAGTTCAGGCCTCATGTGGGGTATAGAGATTACTTAAAATAAATCTTAAAAACAAAACAAAACAAAAAACACCTGGACTTGTCAGTACAATAGGGGTAGAAAGTCACATTACAAAAGCCAGTGCCTGTTGGGTATATTAGGTAAATAAAAAATTGTAAGAGGACTCAGGCTAACAGATAAAGGTCTTTCATGAGGCAGATTTAAAAGTTCCTAAATTGTGCCTTTTTTTTTTCTTTTTGCTATCAGCTTATAGGCAAGTTGATAAATCATTGCTGGATTTGAATCAGTGTTTTCTTGTATAACTATAACCATATTTCAGTTAGTCCCCAAAGCATTTAACTCTATGGCACTCACTGGACTGGTTATAAACTTGCTGGACGTGGAGAATAAATCTCAACACCTGGCTTTCAACTGTCTATTTCTTATGTCTCATGGAATTCTTGTAAATAATGCTTGTCTGGCTGTGGTTACTAGTATGTTTGTTACCTTTATTTGTTGGGAGACGGGATCTTGATCTTACTATTTCTAAGATTATTTAAAATGCTTTTTCTTAGTGTATTTCTGCCTAGCACATGCAGAGTTTAGGAGCATAAAGGTGTTACATTTGTTTCTGGTTTTTACTATACTGTAGCCATCTAACATACTATATTGGTACCTTGGCTACCCATAAAATAGGAACTACTCCTAAGGGAAGTAAGTGAAGTAAAGAAAACCTGTGTCTGTCTATTATGTGTAGATACTTAGAAGCATAGTATTGAAAGACCTGACAATGGTATGAAAAGATAAATAGTGGAATCAATATACACAGTTTATTTTATTTTTTTTTAATTTTTTTATTTTTATTTATTTCTAGGAGAGAGAGAGACAGCATGAGCAGGGGAGGGTCAGAGAGAGAGGTAGATACAGACTCCAAAACAGGCTCCAGGCTCTGAGCTGGCACTCAGCACAGAGCCTGACGCGTGGCTCGAACCCACGAACCGCGAGATCATGACCTAAGCGAAAGTCGGAAGCTTAACCGACTAAGCCACCCAGGCGCTCCTGTACACAGTTTATTAAAGACACATTTTAAAAAAATTTTTTATATTTATTTTTTTTGAGAGAGAGATAGAGACAACGTGAGTAGGGGAGGGTCAGAGAGAGAGAGGGAGTTACAGAATCCCAAGACAGGCTCTAGGCTCTGAGCTAGCTGTCAGCACAGAGCCTGATGCGGGACTCAAACCCACGAACTGTGAGATCATGACCTTAGCCAAAGTCAGATGCGTAACCGACTGAGCCACCCAGGCGCCCCTACAGACACATTTTTGAGATAGGAAATGAGAATCAGGCTGAAGGAATCCTACAGTTGAAAGATGATTATATTCATAGGAATGAAGAGATGACATTATTAAAACAATATGGCTACTTAATTGTGAGGCCCTCATTTTAACCTTAAATGTTAACAGGAATACCAAAAAGTGATCTGAAATAGAGATAAAATTTTGAAATAAGTGGAAAAAAAGAAAAAGTTCACACATTATTTTTTTCAAGAAGTATTCTAGGTGTTTTTCTGTGATTCTTCCATAGAATTAAAACCACTACTTTCCTACATTGTACTGTTGCTTTAAAAACAAATTACTTGATACTGTTTTTGACTAATTTCACTGTGCTCTATAACTGATTATTTTAAGTTATTTTAAATGTTTGGATAAACTTTGTACTCCCTCTAAGGAATATTTATTCTCTTAATTCCCACACAAATTTATAATGCTGTTAAATGCTTGAATAAGAGATTGTTGACATTATATAAACTCTTGCAAATGGTAAACTTAAGAATTTTCTTTGTTCATTTTACTTCATGTCTTATGTGATAGAGGATGAATTTGAATCTAATTCATATCTTCTAAGTGAATGTTTTCTGTGGTTTCTTATATCAGACTCCTAAAGAAATTATTATTGGGGTGTCATTGGCTGTCTTTTCTTTATGTGGAGTTAAAAGTTGCAATAAAACTTACCTGTAGTATTTTCTTAGAGCCATATATAAATTTGTGTAGTAATACTCCAGCAAAACAAAATAATCCTATCTACTACCAAATACTGAGATTGGAATTGGATTCACATCAGTACAATTGGTTCAAAATATACTGCCTGTATCTATTATGAATAGCAACTTCTATAAGGTCTATGTAACTTTGTGTCTTGTTTTTTTAATGCTTTTACAGAATCCTATCAAAACTATGTAATTGTTTATTCTCCATCCCTGAAATTGATTTAGGAGGTTGGCTGTAATATTTTTTTCTTATATAAAGGATGTTTATGTTTAACTGAAAATAGATTTTTGTTATCCATACAAATATTAAAGGTTAAAGGCAACTAATGTAAAAGGTTTCACTAAGCAAATGATGAAGCAGTGGTCTCTTCAGCAGCTGCAGACTTGTACTATCTAGAAATGAGATAAATGAAATGCATAAAGATGCATTAGGATGAATGTTCCCCTTCCAAGTAATCCAAGTAAGTAACCCTGGTTTTTTTCCCCCAATTATGTTGGCACTGCTAAACATTTTTCTGAAAATGACTCCAAGAGTCCACTTGTAAGGCATCCAGGAGGACTAGTCTCATCACTCATGTTAGTCCTATGTTGATTTTTTTTTTAATTAAAAAAAATTTTTTTGAGATTTTATTTTTAAGTAATCTCTACACTCAATGTGCATCTCAAACTTGGCAACCCCAAGATCAAGAGTCACAGGCTCTACTGACTGAGCCAGCCAGGCAACCTAGTCAGATGTTAATTCTGACTAGAATCTTAACTTGATTATGGCCATGTGTACTTTATTCATCAGACTTGATTAAAAATAATTTATAGTTACAACGTAAGTCTACCCTCAAAAAGTAGGGTATATAGCTTCTTTGAGGATAACCTTATTTGATACAAAAAATTCTTGTGGTTTTTGACATTAAATGAGTTGGCCAAGATCCATAACTGATGAGTGGTTGGCCACTATTCTTTGTGATAAAAAAAAAATCCCACCTAACCAGCTGTTATGTCTGCTCTTACAAGGTAGTATACATGTAAGGAAAGATTACTTTCCATACATTTGAGGAAAGATTATTTACTTTTTTATAGTGTCTTAGCAATATAAAAGTATTTCTGGTCACCGTGTATCTGTTTTTTGGTCACTTAAATTTTTTTAAATTGCAATATAATTGACATACAACATTAGTTTCAGGTGTACACCATAATGATGCAATATGTGTATGTAAATGTATGTTATATATATGTAAATTATATATGTGTAAATATATATGTAAATATATAATTATATATACAATTTATATATATAATATATGTAATATATATTTGAGAGAAAGGGAGAGAACACACATGTAAGTGGGAAAGGGGCAGAGAGAGAGGGACAGAGAGAATCCCAAGCAGGCTCTGCACTTTCAGCCCAGAGCCTGATGGTGGGGTTGAACCCATGAACTATAAGAACGTGACCTGAACCAAAATCAAGAATAGGCCACTTAACTGACTGAGCCACCCAGAAACCCCTCAATATGTGTGTGTGAGTGTGTGTGTGTATTTAATGTTTATTTTGAGAGAGAGAGATTGTGTGAGTGTGAGCTGAGGAGGGGCCAAGAGAGAGGATCCCAAGCAGGCTCTGTGATGTCACCATGTAACCCGATGTGAGGCTTGAACTCACAAACTGTGAGATCATTACCTGAGCCAAAATCAAGAGTCAGATGTTTGACTGAGCCACCCATGCCCCTCAGTATGTGTATATTTTGTGAAAAATCACAATATATCTAGTTAAGATTCATCACCACATAGGGGCACCTGGGTGGCTCAGTCTGTCAAGCATCTGATTTCCACTCAGGTCATGATCTCACAGTTTGTGGGCTTGAGCCCTGCATTGGGCTCTGTACTGACAGTTCAGAGCCTGGAGCCTGCTTCAGATTCTGTGTCTCCTTCTCTCTGCCCCTCCCCTGCTTGTGCGCGCACGCGCGCGCTCTCTCTCTCTCTCTCCCCCTCCCATGTGTGCGCGCTCTCTTAAAAAAAATGTTAAAGGGGCGCCTGGGTGGCTTAGTCGGTTGGGCGTCTGACTTTCGCTTAGGTCATGATCTCGCGGTTCATGGGTTCGAGCCCCGCGTCGGGCTCTGTGCTGACTGCCCCCTCAGAGCCTGGAGCCTATTTCGGAGTCTGTGTCTCCCTCTCTCTCTGACCCTCCCCTGCTCACATTGTTTCTCTCTCTCCTAGAAATAAATAAAAATATTTTGAAAAAAAAAAAGTTAAAAGTTTTAATAAAAAGATTCATCACTACATAGTTTTTTCTTGTGAGAACTTTTAAGATCTCAGACACTCTCAAATATACAATACAGCATTAACAACTATCGTCACCCAGGGTGCAATTACTTACCCAGGACTTACAACTAGAGTTTTATAACTTTTAACTTTGTCCATCCCCTACACCCAACCTCTGGCAACCACTGGTCACTATAGTTCTTTATGTAATGTTTGATTCATATATAAAAATATATGCAGCGTGGAAGTAATGA